TGATTTTTTATAATAAAGTGTGAGTGTATCAGTTATTTGCATCTTTGGATATTAAAAGGTGAATTCAGAAGAAATCACAATATAACATTTGTTCACTGACCAACGGACAAGAAAACAAGGCTTACACGCAGTCTTTCAATCAAAATACTAGATACATTTTCAAATTTGATAGCAGGGTTTTACGATTCTGCTCCTATTTCGTGGATTTAGGGGTCAGTTTCAACTTTGAAATTCAGTTTTTTATACGCAGTGTACGATAAAGAATTGGCTGGAATTTAGCTGGAACCCGAAGAGTTATTTTTTGCCCCCGAGCCGTCTGTCCCGCGGGAAGGAATTCGGACTACCCCGCAGATTTCTAGTAGAGATGCAGATCTACAAGCGCGGATGAGGAAAAAGGAAAACAAATTACTATTAAATAAAAAATTATTAGCAGTAGTTAAACAAAATTACATCTTTAATAGTAAGATGGAATATAACGTCTGCAATCCTATGTTGTGCAATAGCGAAGATTACATGTGGGAGGAGCAATTAACGCATAAACATAGAAACCATTACAATTGGTAACTTGAACATTGTTTGACCAGTTACAATTATTACCTGCCCAGTTATAACACACCGTACCCGTATTGCTCACACCAACCGGAGGCATTGCACCGTTATACCAACCTGGTGCATCTGTTCCACAAACACTCACACTTGATGCACTTGTCACGATTCTTGAACCAGCACCACCAGAGAATTTAACCCATGTTGGTGTACTCGAAAATAAAGATGTATCACACGTACTACTTGAACTGTAAGCAATATTTCGAGTAGAATCTGTAATTGTCGTATATGATGAACACTGAGCCGGAAGATTGTTTGTCGTTGTTGTTGCGGTGGTAGCTAAAATAAAAATAAATACGTCAAAGAAATACCACGTCTCTGTACTAACAATACTACTTGTGGACGTAGTGCTTGTGCTTGTGGTGGAACCTAAAAAGTACGAGTGAATAATTAATTATCTCTATATCACAATGTACAATCGATGTCATACTTGTTGACGATGTTGTGGTAGAAGTCGAAGTACTAGTAGTACTAGTGGTTGACGTTGTGGTTGCTAAAGAAAACTGATATATAGTATTAGAAAAGAAAATTTACTGAAAAATTTTGATACTTGTACTCGTGGATGTTGTTGCGGTGGTAGCTAAAATAAAAATAAATACGTCAAAGAAATACCGCGTCTCTGTACTAACGATACTACTTGTGGACGTAGTGCTTGTGGTTGTGGTGGTACCTAAAAAGAACAAATGAATAATTAATTATCTCTATACAATGTACAAATCGATGTCATACTTGTTGACGATGTTGTGGTAGAAGTCGAGGTACTAGTAATACTAGTGGTTGACGTTGCGGTTGCTAAAGAAAACTAATATATAGTATTAGAAAAGAAAATTTATTAAAAAATGTTGGTACTTGTAGTCGTGGATGTAGAAGTTGTCGTTGTTGATGTCGTAGTTGACATTGCTAAAAGAAAATTGATTCTAGAGGATACTTGGAACAGGTCAAAAAACAAAATTTTACGTGAACTCGACAGTCGGTCTAAGACAACAATTGGAACTATTATTGAAACACAACAAAGTAACAGTAATGTCAGACCAAAAATGATCGCGCCGCACCGAGTTGCACAAACACCACAACCATTTCTAAATATGATAAACAGATATACTTGTAGCAAAAAGTTGATTGCATGACCATACTTAAACAGAGAACTAAGCTTTCTCCGACGTCTGATAGTTAATTGATCTTGTGAATTCATTTGAGAGGACCATGTATCGGTTGTTGTTGTTTCAGGTGACCAAGCATCGAATCTGATGTCCAGTATAGGGGATGGTCGAGACATCGAAGAAGAACAATAATATTGTTGAGATTGCGCATATCCTTTAGCGATCAGAGTACTAAATCGTGGATCAACATATTCATGCAGTGATTGTACTTGTTTTATTTTAGTATTGTGCGAAAATGAATCTTTTGCATTAGACTGAAACAAAGACGGATGTAGGAGATGATTTATGCAGATTGGGCATAATGATACCTACCCCGTTCGGAAGATTTGCGGAAGACCATAAATAAGACGATTGAATGCCAGATATCCAGCTATCCGATAAATTAATGCACTGAGGACTGGCTGACGACTGCGAGCGCATTGGAATTCTATCGTATATACTCAACCGTGTTTCTTTTGAATTTAATAAAACAAAACTGATCCATATGAATGATTCAATTTCGTCTCTTCGCTTTAAATAAATTGAATCTGCTATAGTTTTTGTTTGATTTAGCATTTACAGGGCCTCTTTTTGTTGATATTCTGATCTGTTAACTTCGACATAAGTACATTATATGCTTGATTTTCTGTGTTAAACAGAAAATTGTATTGTTTTAGAAATTAAAAACTTGATCGTTATCCAATTTACATGATACAAGGCGAAATTCAATTCGATCTCGGATTCAGACTAAAATAGATAAAGTCGTGTAGTTTGTTTCCTTGACTGAAAGGCTAGAGTCATGCATAAATGTTTTTCACAAAGTACATAAAACTGAGACAGCGAGCACAGGCTAAGGTTCTTAGAGACGAAACCGATAAGGTTAGGTAATCGACTATGGTGAATTAGACAAAGGATCTCACAAAGACATCAAGCGGTTTGAGCTATCTGTTTCATTCAATACTGTAGTTTGAACTCGAATAAGAATTGATTCTTTTAACAAACGTTTAGCTTTGTGCTGTTCTGACACAAGAATACGAAAGTCATTTAATGACCCTACGTGACCAGTGGATTCGTAATGTTTGGCTATAGCTAGCTGATTTTGCCACACTTTCTGTTTAGGAAGATCAACGAGCTTTGTTTGAGTGGCTAAGATTTTTTAGCTATGAGATCATTATCCAAATTTTTAACTAATGTAGGAAGTTTATCAGATTGTGATCTTGTTATAGATTTTGTTTAAAACATGCACATATTTAAAAAGAAAAAAAAGAAGAAAATTGTGAAGTTCATCATGTTCTAGTTAAAGAAAGAAAATCGTCATATGCTGTTAGTGTGTGTCGTACTTCACTTCGGTGTATATCGTTTATGTATTGTTTGAAAATGACTGTAAAAGTCAAAATATCACTACATTTTCAATAGACTAATAAAAATTTATTATTATGAAATTCTATACAACCGCATTGATAGTCTTCCGTCTAGTTTTTGTTGATAACCTACACATACATTTCAGTCAAATTAACCGAAAAATTTTTATCTATGAGGAGTTTTCATTTTATGTAGGGATCCTATATTGCATGTTAGAAATAGAAAAAAACGAGAATAATAATATATGGAAATAGTTATAGTTTTAACAGCAGCTATAAACGACTTCATTCTTATTCAAAATAAGTTTTTCAAAACAAAGGACGGGGTGTAGCGGCCGTTCAACCACTTCTTACTATTTTTTGTCTTCTATGCATTCTTAATTTAGTTAAAAATAAACTAGTTATAAGTTGCATAGAAACTCGAATTTAAAAGACACATTTTTCTTCGTGCCTT